CCCTCCCCCCTCAGGGTCCTGCCCCTTCAGGTGTGTCCCAGGTCGACGCGGTTGAGCCTGTCGAGGTCACTGGTGACTCTGGTGCTGCTGTGGGTACTGAGCCTGGGGGTGCTGTGCCTGGGGGTGCTGAGCCTGGGGGTGCGGGGTCTGGGGGTGCTGAGTCTGGGGGTGCTGAGCCTGGGGGTGCTGAGCCTGGGGGTGCTGAGCCTGGGGGTGCTACGCTTGGAGGTGCTTTGCCTGGGAGTGCTGAGCCTGGAGGTTCTTCCCCTGGAGGTTCTCTGGGTGCTTCGTCTCGCCGAGAGCCACTCTCCTCACAGGAGCTGCGTGAGTGGTTTTCTCGGCGTTGGAGGCGTGCTGCTGGTGCTGGAGGCTCTTCTGCTGCTGAGGGTGCTGCTGCCGCGGGTCCCGGAGGTGCTCGTACTGGGAGTACTGGAGCTGCTGGGCCTGCGGGTTCGCCTGGAGCTGGTGCTGCTGAGGGTGTTGGCGCTGAGACTACCACTGGTGGTTCGTACCGCTCCTGCAGCAGGTTCTTGGTCTTCCACCTTCTCCTGGTCCTCCTCCTCCTCCCTTAGAGGGTCCACAGCCTGTCCAGTCACAGCTACAGCCTGCCTCCCCTTTGCCTGCTCCTCCTCCCTACGCTGGTCCGACTGGAGGTCTTACTGAGCGTCGTGAGCCTGCGTCTCGTCCTGCGTTGCCTGTTCGTACTAGGCGCACTAGTGGTCGCGGTTCGCGTCAGCGTCCGCCTCCTGTCCCTGGCACGCACCGGATGTCTCTGCGTCCGTCCACTGCTCCTCTACGTGCCCCTTTGCCTTCTCCTCCTTCTTCCTCTCTTCCTGCTCTTGCCGACCCGGAGTCGGACTCTCTTCGTGCTGCCAGTCCTACTGTCACGCGTCTCCTTGCTACTGCTGTCACTGACCCTTCTTTCGAGTCTTCTGCTGCGTCTGCCCTTGTCACTGAGCTCGTCGACTTTGCTGCGCGCTGTCGTCTAGACTACGCTGCTGGTCTTGTCGCTGAGTCTGAGTCTACCTGTCCTCCGACCGTCGGGGGTGAGTGTGCCCTTGGCACGGACGTCCTTGAGGACAGGCAGGAGGAGTTCCAGTGTCTGGCCGCCGCTTCACCTCATCTCGCGTCTGTACTGCTAGCCCCTGAGGGAGACTCGGATGCACTAGACATCCCGACTCCGCGCTCTTACGCGGAGGCGATAGAGGGTCCCTACTCCTCTCAGTGGCAGGCAGCTATGGATGCAGAGATGGCTTCCTGGAAGTCCACAGGCACCTACGTTGACGTTGTCCCCCCACCTGGGGCGAACATTGTCAGTGGCATGTGGATCTTCAGGGTGAAGCGGCCGTCGGGTTCTCCGCCTGTCTTCAAGGCGCGCTACGTGGCTCGTGGCTTCAGTCAGCGACAGGGAGTTGACTTCTTTCAGACCTTCTCCCCGACCCCGAAGATGACCACTCTTCGGGTTCTACTGCACGTCGCTGCTCAGCGTGACTACGAGCTACACTCTCTTGACTTCAGCACTGCTTTCCTGCAGGGCCGCCTGCACGAGGAGATCTGGCTGCGCCGCCCTCTTGGCTTCACTGGGTCGTTCCCTCCTGGTACCCAGTGGAGCCTCCGGCGGCCAGTCTACGGTCTCCGCCAGGCGCCGCGTGAGTGGCACGACACACTGAGGACTACACTTGCGGCTCTTGGGTTTGCTCCTTCTACTGCTGACCCGTCGCTGTTTCTGCGCGCCGACACCTCGCTGCCGCCGTTCTACATCCTCGTGTACGTCAACGACTTGGTCTTTGCCACTGCGGACACTGCCGCACTCGCCCACGTGAAGTCCGAGCTGCAGAAGAGACACACGTGCACAGACCTGGGTGAATTGACAAGCTATCTTGGCTTGCGGATCACCCGGGACAGAGCACGCGGCACCATTACCCTGACTCAGTCACACATGGTGCAGCAGGTCCTTCAGCGCTTCGGCTTCACGTACTCCTCGCCTCAGTCCACTCCTCTGCCTACGGGACACTCGCTCTCAGCTCTGCCTTCGGATGAGTCCGTAGAGTCGAGTGGTCCGTATCCAGAGCTTGTGGGCTGCCTCATGTACCTGATGACCTGCACTCGACCTGACCTCGCATACCCTCTCAGCATCTTAGCACGCTATGTTGCTCCCGGCCGTCACCGGAAGGAGCACATGGATGGAGCTAAGAGGGTGTTGCGCTACTTGTGCAGTACGTCGGGCATGGGGCTAGTGCTTGGAGGGCGAGAGCGGCCTGTGCTCACTGGGCACTCAGACGCTTCTTGGGCTGACGACCAGGCTACTCAGAGGTCGTCTCAGGGTTACACCTTCAGTCTTGGCTCTGGCTCTGTCTCTTGGCGCTCTACTCGCTCTTCTTCAGTTCTCAGCTCCAGCTGTGAGGCTGAGATCTACGCCACGGCCATGGCTGCCCAGGAGCTTCGCTGGCTCACCTACCTGCTGACTGACCTTGGAGAGCGGCCTCGTTCTCCTCCAGTGCTGTACGTCGACAACAAGGCAACCATTGCCTTGTGTCAGGAGCACAGACTGGAGCACAGGACGAAGCACATTGCTCTGCGCTACTTCCTTGCTCGAGAGCTGCAGCAGCGTGGTCAGCTTCGCCTGCGTTTCGTGGCCACTGAGGCCAACACTGCTAATGTGTTCACCAAGGCACTTCCGCCTCGTGACCATCAGCGCTTTTGCACTCTGCTAGGCCTTGTGCCCACTGGGCCTCACTTGCTTACCTCTTGACCTTGCTTGTACTGCTGCATATATATATCCTTGCTCTTGCTTGTTTAGCACTGTTATATACATATGCTCTGCTGCATGTGACCTGGCCTTGTGGCCTTGACCTTGTGCTCGGAATTTGTGTGGTATCCTTGAGATCCACCCTGAGCTTGCTTTGCTTTACTTTGCTTTGCTTGACTGGTCTTGTGGCCCCTTGCTCTCCCCCACTTTGCCTATGGGGGTGTGTCAGATGATTATATATTGCTGATGCATATATGTAGGCTGTAGTGGGGTAGCCCATATGGGGTACAACCCAATTAGGGTTTGTACTTGTACTTGTTTCATTTCATAGTGCATCATCCTTCGCCTCTATCTCAACACCAGTGTCGGGGCACGTGTGCCTATACTCCATTCCAAATTCGTAGGATCATTTGTGCTGGTCGGAATGGGGTACCAACAGATGTGGGAGTTTAGCCGCAATTTTGGCATACCATGTCCTGGAAAAGGCACTTTCTATAAGTATCTGGGGGATGATAATGGATTGTGGAATACGATTCTTAGGGAGGCGGAGAAATCAATGGCAGCGGTGCGCGAAGAGATGAGCAGACGAGACATACCTGGGGAATGGGTAACTGTAGATGGTCGGTGGTCACATGTTCGAGAGGGCGAGTGGTGTACCGTGTCATTCATAGATGCTGTTACGCGGAAGATATTGTATTGTGTGACAACAAGAAAAGGGGTTGATGATACATCCTCTGTGCGATTGGAGAGGGTTGCGTTCGACAAAGGAGTTGATGAGCTGGCGCTGTTGGGATTTGATGTGGAAGGAATCATTTCAGACCAAGGGACAACCTTCAAAGGTGCAGCGACAGAGCGGAAACTGAACCATCAGGTGGACTGGTGGCACGTGAAGAAAACGTTGTACAAGCTTTTCAGCAAAGAGCTTCAGGATGCAGTGCGGGCGCCGGTAGCCGTGGACAAGGCAAGTTGTATTGAGGAGTTGTGGTTGGCTACGGTGGAAGGGCTGCGGGGGTGGTTGCGAAAACGGGGTTTGGAGAAAAAAGCGAAGGCATCACTCAAATCGGATCTTGTGCAATCGGTCTGCACAGCCATGGGCACCTTTGCCTACGTGCACATGACACCCGATAAAGCAAAGTGGATGTTTCCGGAGCTGAGAAAGGTGCGACGAGTGGGGGGGGAACAGGGGGTTGTTGATGTCCCTGTGACTTATGCTGAGGTGCAAAATGGTCCAACAGGAGATAGGCGGACCACTACAAGCGATGAAGCGGTTGACGAGGCGGAAATGGGGAATGCTACAGTTGACGTGCAGTGGCCGGATGTGGAGCTTTGGAGTTATGATTTGCATCCAGTGCAAGGCGCGCGACCCTCGTCTGTGGCAAGTGCATTCATCGTGCATGCACATGCAGGTGCTGGCGATGTCTCCCGGTCAATCGGTGGGACGACTCCTTGGGCCAACGCCGACGAATTGACTGGTAAGAAGGCTCACAAATGTGAAATTTTTACTGCTCATGTGGATTGGTTACTCATTCATGTTTCCCTCCACTATTGTCGTTCACCAGGAGACGATGGCATGGGTGGTTCGGACCCACCCATGACTAACCCTGCGAGCGACAACGAGGGTGCAGTGCACGATGGTGATGCAGCAGGAAGCGGGTACGGACAGTCCCTGCCTCGGTGGGTTGGGCGCCGGAAACGTAAACGGGGTGGAGATGCGGTACACGCAGGCGATGAAGAGAGTACCGTGGCGCAGCGCTTTGGATCGCATTTTTTCCATGTGATGATGCACGCCGGGAGGATGAAGGAAGCGGGCACCCCTATGACTCCTGATGATGTGGCGAGGGAGATTGGGACGGCCCCAAACCATTGGGCGGGTGACCATTCCGGGTGTGGAAAGTCTGGTGGGGTCCCGCCAAGGTGTGTTACTGAGAATTGGGGGAGGGAATGTGCTCTTTACGAGCCTGGGTCAGAAACGCACAAGGCGGTGCTTGCTTGGTTCGAGAAACGGTTGTCGCCGGAAAAGGTGAAATCCTTTGTTCACGGAGCCAACAGTTCGATCAATGAATCATTTCATTCTCTGATCCTCAAATACGCCCCTAAGCGTATTCGGTTCCAGGATAGTCTTGTGCCACGCGTGGCTCTCGCTGTCTTGCACTGGAATAACTCGATGGATAGATTGGTCACTTCCTATCACACACGAGTACGGCGAGTGACGCGCATGCGTCGGGGCAACAAGGATCGCACACTAGGACCGATGGAGTGGTCGTGGGTTGATCGGATCATGGGGGACTGGCAACGATCGTTAGGGGATGGTGTCGACGATGATATTATTGAAGATGCATCTAGGAGCCAAGGAACGGAACAGCAGACCGCTGACACATCTGATTGTGGGGGCCACCCATCTGTACAGCAGCCCGCTACACCTGTGCGACGTAGTGGGAGGGGTCGCGGTCGGTCATCGACGCATGGTGCTGCGAAGCGCATACTTCTAGGTGAGACTAGTTGCATATTTGCAACATATCACACCCTATCTCATCAACCTGACCGACACTTTCCGTTTGTGCTAATGTTACAGGTGACATCACCAACCATCCTCGGTAAACGTCACCGTCACACCTATGGGACTCACAAACGTCCAACATTATCATTTTGGTCGCCGCGCCGCACCGCTACCGGCATCAACGACGCCCATGTGCTCACCACCGGTAATATGGCACCCTAGTATTGTAATTGTTTTTCCTCTTCCACCAACTCCAGTGGCCTTCAAATCTATCGCCCCCTTTCCAATCCACGCTTTCTTGTCTAACTCATGCCCTTCCCCTTGACAAACAGACTTTTGATGTTTCGGACCCCCATCCCCTACCCTGTGATACATCCCATGTCAGCTCCTACAATTGGTCCCGCCAGTGCAGGGAGTGCCGCTGCTGCCCCCCGGGACGTCAGACGCCTAGTGGCAAATGACCCATGCTGACATTTCGGTGCATTTGGCATCTGCACTAGTGCATGATATCCCAAGCAAACTCCCCATTCTCTCCACTTCCCTCTCCTCTCTCCTATCTCCACTGACAACTCTCTCATCCTGACTCTCCTCTCTCCCATCCCAAAGACGATCACCTTGCCTCTTTCCCACCTCTGCTCTCTCCCTCCCCTTCCCCCCTTCCCCAACACTCCCCACTCCCCCACGTTCGGACAGCCATTGGACGCAAAAAGCAGTGAGTTCGAGCTTGTCAACCCTCTGCCCCTCCTCCCTGTTCTAGGCTCCCTTGACCATCGTCATCGTCTCTGCCCCCCACCCCACTCCCCCCATGACCCCCCCCCCCCCCCCCCCCCCCCCCCCCGACCCTTCCCCCCTCCGCAGGTCAGCCGTTGCAAAGCTCCAGCAAGGAGGGCCCTTCCAAAGTTTCCCTCCCCTCCTTTCATTTCCTCGACACCGCCACAACCCGTCCCCCCAAGTCAGCTCGACCGTCCCGCGTCGCTCCGCTAGCATCTCACAATATCTAGGAGTAATGGCTCTACGTTTGTAGACAACTACAAGTTGTTCCTCTTCGGGGGTGTAATGCTTGGTGAACCTTCAGTTCATTTGTCCCGGCTGACTACGATGTTGTGCTGGCAAGTGTGCGTCACCGATTTGAAGTGCTACTTTGCCGCTTGAACAGTGATTCATGGTGCTGTCTACTCACCATGTATGACACGCCTCTATGCTATTACCGTGCTCTGTTGGACCCTAAGCTAGGGGTTGGCTATGTTGTGAATGTTGGGTAGGGGATATATCTTACACAGCTGCATACACGAACATTTCTTCAACTCTATGTGTAGGAGCATGGTTCAATACTGAGATATGGCATACCGGTACAAAGAGCATACATTGTACTTGATTCCAACAGCCAGCTAACCCTGTCTTATTGAGGTACATAAGGTAGCCACCATAGGGCGCTGCCGAAGTGCTTGCAGAGTGCCGTGCACAGCGACATGTCGTGCACAGTTGCCTGACTTGTTGTTGGCTGATGGGTGTTGCAGCTCCCAAGCCCGCCTTACACGCAGGGACGACGGCAACAGCTAGTGCAGGGCCTTATAGGGCTGAGGTCAGCAGAGGGTATGGGGCAAGGGGTGTTGCTGAAGGCAGTCTCGAGAGGAGGCTGATACTGCGTGTGCACTGCGGCGTGGTGGATCCAGTCCTAGATCTGCTTTTGCGCAGGCGGATGGGTGGGGAGTGGGGCGAGGGAGAACAAGGGGGTGAGTGGAGAGCAAGGGTATGAGCATGGCAGGAAGGACAGTGCACAAGCCTGGTATGGGTGGCAAGCAGGTTTTGATGGATGTGGACAACACCTGGAGATGAGGGGAAAGCAGGGAATGAGATGAGGGGAAAGCAGGGAATGAGATGAGGGGAAAGCAGGGAATGAGATGAGGGGAAAGCAGGGAATGAGATGAGGGGAAAGCAGGGAATGAGATGAGGGGAAAGCAGGGAATGAGATGAGGGGAAAGCAGGGAATGAGATGAGGGGAAAGCAGGGAATGAGATGAGGGGAAAGCAGGGAATGAGATGAGGGGAAAGCAGGGAATGAGATGAGGGGAAAGCAGGGAATGAGATGAGGGGAAAGCAGGGAATGAGATGAGGGGAAAGCAGGGAATGAGATGAGGGGAAAGCAGGGAATGAGATGAGGGGAAAGCAGGGAATGAGATGAGGGGAAAGCAGGGAATGAGATGAGGGGAAAGCAGGGAATGAGATGAGGGGAAAGCAGGGAATGAGATGAGGGGAAAGCAGGGAATGAGATGAGGGGAAAGCAGGGAATGAGATGAGGGGAAAGCAGGGAATGAGATGAGGGGAAAGCAGGGAATGAGATGAGGGGAAAGCAGGGAATGAGATGAGGGGAAAGCAGGGAATGAGATGAGGGGAAAGCAGGGAATGAGATGAGGGGAAAGCAGGGAATGAGATGAGGGGAAAGCAGGGAATGAGATGAGGGGAAAGCAGGGAATGAGATGAGGGGAAAGCAGGGAATGAGATGAGGGGAAAGCAGGGAATGAGATGAGGGGAAAGCAGGGAATGAGATGAGGGGAAAGCAGGGAATGAGATGAGGGGAAAGCAGGGAATGAGATGAGGGGAAAGCAGGGAATGAGATGAGGGGAAAGCAGGGAATGAGATGAGGGGAAAGCAGGGAATGAGATGAGGGGAAAGCAGGGAATGAGATGAGGGGAAAGCAGGGAATGAGATGAGGGGAAAGCAGGGAATGAGATGAGATGAGGGGAAAGCAGGGAATGAGATGAGGGGAAAGCAGGGAATGAGATGAAGGGAAAGCAGGGAATGAGATGAGGGGAAAGCAGGGAATGAGTTGAGGGGAAAGCAGGGAATGAGATGAGGGGATAGCAGGGAAGGAGATGAGGGGAAAGCAGGGAAGGAGATGAGGGGAAAGCAGGGAAGGAGATGAGGGGAAAGCAGGGAATGAGATGAGGGGATAGCAGGGAAGGAGATGAGGGGAAAGCAGGGAAGGAGATGAGGGGATAGCAGGGAATGAGATGAGGGGAAAGCAGGGAATGAGATGAGGGGAAAGCAGGGAATGAGATGAGGGGAAAGCAGGGAATGAGTTGAGGGGAAAGCAGGGAATGAGATGAGGGGAAAGCAGGGAAGGAGATGAGGGGAAAGCAGGGAAGGAGATGAGGGGAAAGCAGGGAATGAGATGAGGGGAAAGCAGGGAATGAGTTGAGGGGAAAGCAGGGAATGAGATGAGGGGAAAGCAGGGAAGGAGATGAGGGGAAAGCAGGGAAGGAGATGAGGGGAAAGCAGGGAATGAGATGAGGGGATAGCAGGGAATGAGATGAGGGGAAAGCAGGGAATGAGATGAGGGGAAAGCAGGGAAGGAGATGAGGGGAAAGCAGGGAAGGAGATGAGGGGAAAGCAGGGAAGGAGATGAGGGGAAAGCAGGGAATGAGATGAGGGGATAGCAGGGAATGAGATGAGGGGAAAGCAGGGAATGAGATGAGGGGAAAGCAGGGAATGAGATGAGGGGAAAGCAGGGAATGAGTTGAGGGGAAAGCAGGGAATGAGATGAGGGGAAAGCAGGGAAGGAGATGAGGGGAAAGCAGGGAAGGAGATGAGGGGAAAGCAGGGAATGAGATGAGGGGATAGCAGGGAATGAGATGAGGGGAAAGCAGGGAATGAGATGAGGGGAAAGCAGGGAAGGAGATGAGGGGAAAGCAGGGAAGGAGATGAGGGGAAAGCAGGGAATGAGATGAGGGGAAAGCAGGGAATGAGATGAGGGGAAAGCAGGGAATGAGATGAGGGGAAAGCAGGGAATGAGATGAGGGGAAAGCAGGGAATGAGATGAGGGGAAAGCCGGGAATGAGATGAGGGGAAAGCAAAAAATGAGATGAGGGGAAAGCAGGGAAGGAGATGAGGGGAAAGCAGGGAATGAGATGAGGGGAAAGCAGGGAAGGGGAGGGGGGGAAGCAGGGAAGGGGACATGGGGCAGCAGGGAAGGGGAAGGGGGGAAGCGGAAAAGGGGATAGGGGGAGCCATGGAAGGGGAGGGGGGGAGCAGGGAAGGGGAGGGGGGGTGGCAGGGAAAGGGATGGGGGGAAGCAGGGAAAGGGATGGGTGGAAGCCGGGAAGGGCATGGGGGGGAGCAGGTAAGGGGAAGGGGGGAAGCACGGATGGGGAGGGGGGGAAGCAGGGAAGGGGACACGGGGAAGCAGGGAAGGGGTTGGGGGAAAGTAGGGAAGGGGATTGGGGGAAGCAGGGAAGGGGAGGGGGGGAGCAGGGAAGAGGATGGGGGGAAGCAGGGAAGAGGATGGGGGGAAGCACGGACGGGGAGGGGGGGAAGCAGGGAAGGGGAAGGGGGGAGGGAAGCTGGGAAGGCGATCGGGGGAAGCATGGAAGGGGAGGGGGGGAGCAGGGTAGGGGAGGGGGGGAAGCAGGGACGGGGATGGGGGAATGCAGGGAATGGGATGGGGGGAGGCAGGGAATGGGAAGGGGGAAAGCAGGGAATGGGATGGGGGGGAGCAGGGACGGGGATGGGGGGAAGCACGGAAAGGGATGGGGGGAAGCAGGGAGGTGCATGGGTGGAAGCAGGGAAGGGGATGGGGGGAAGCACGGAAAGGGATGGGGGGAAGCAGGGAGGTGCATGGGTGGAAGCAGGGAAGGGGATGGGGGGAAGCAGGGAAAGGTGACAGGAAACGGGAAGGGAGACGGGAGGGATGGCAAGGGCGACGGGGAGAGAGGAAGACAGGGATTGCGAGTGGACGAGCGGGAGGCAGGGCGACGGGACGAAGGGACGGCGACGGGCGGGAGGGAGAGCGGCGTACGAAAGGGAGAGAGACGGACGGAAGAGAGTCCGATGGGCGGAAGGGAGGGCGACGGGCGGAAGGGAGAGCGGCGTGCGGAAGAGAGTCCGATGGGCGGAAGGGTGGGCGACGGGCGGAAGGGAGAGCGGCGTGCGGAAGGGAGAGCGGCGTGCGGAAGGGAGAGCGGCGTGCGGAAGGGAGAGCGGCGTGCGGAAGGGAGAGCGGCGTGCGGAAGGGAGAGCGGCGTGCGGAAGGGAGGGTGACGGGCGGAAGGGACGGTGACGGGCGGAAGGTAGGGTGACGGGAGCGACTTGCGGATGGGCGGGCGAACAGAAGGGGAGCGCGATCGCGGACTACGCGAGGAAACGACGTACGAGAGAGCGAGAACCGTGATGTCGCGGGCAAGCGACCGCGAATGGTGGAACCTAAGGGTCGAGCTACCTAGCGCTGCATCCCGGGAGCGCATGGCGGAGCATTTGACGCGTGTTCATACATGAGCTGTGTGCAAAAACAGCGTGTTTTGCGTGAAAAACGAGTGTGTTTGTGTATGCTTGACAATTAGTACCAGATGGTTTTCAAGTTCACTTCTGGTGAACAGTGCTGCTTTGCCTCCCGAGCCACACCTCGAGCGGGCTTTGAGTGTCGCTGGCCAATCACAGAGCACTAGGTAGCGAGAAAGCTCAACTTCGACTGGTAACTTGGTTTTTTGCGAGTTCATTTTCAGGAATCTTGAGCTTGAAAAAAGCCATGTGGTACTCGGGCTTTAAAGCCCCAAACATTGATGTGTGGATACCGAACCTAGCCAGTGCGACTAGGCAACCAAACACACCTCAAATTGCCACTCGAACTGGGACCTAACTGGGGCACTGCTCAGTAGCCCTCCCACTCATACTGCGGTTGGTGCGGGGCAGCTTCCCCTGCCCCAATTCGAGCATCCCATCGAATCACCTTTAGAGCCACCAAAAACATGGTGGTGTAGGCAAATACTTTATAAGCAAAATGTACCGCTGAACTGAAGCGAAATCTACATACGTGCACAAAGCTACTAACAAATGTACAACGTACATGCGCCAACACTCAATCTAGGCAGCTTACTTGAAGAAGCCTTTCCTCCTGCCAAAGACCCCTTTCCTCTTGCCAATAAAGCCTTTCCTCTTGCCAATGAACGCCTTGCGTTTGCCAAGGAAAAGACCTTTGCGCTTGCCAACGAAGCCCTTGAACTTCCTCCCCTTGAACTTGTGGTTGGGGCGGCCCACATACACGTGAGCCACATTACCAGCTGCATCTCAAACACCACACAAAATGGCACACAGGAGAGTAAAAAGACTGAGATACACGCAAGTAACTGACATGACCTCAGCATATCCCCGCAAGGTAACATGGAAGAGACGAATAACACCCTCTTGGGAAATGCGGGCGAGGCCCTTTTTGCAGCCAGCGTCCACGAACGGCGATATTCAAGTAACCAGGTGTCAGAAATTCGCCATCGCTGGTACAAAGGCGAACTAGAAGAGGAGATGTTACTGGCAATGACTTACCTTAGCTGCCTTTCCCGCTTCTCACGGGCTGAGCAAGGAACATTCGATAAGATCGCAAAGTCGCGACGTTTTTCCATTTGGTGACAGTCGCACCCCGCAGTCGTTTGCTAAATCCCAATCACAGATCACTATGGAAATCAAGGAGTCCATCTGTCAAGCTTACCTGGTAGCTGTCGGTCACTCGGGGTGGTGAATCCACATCTACAAACGCATTCATGCATTCCCACCCTAACAGCAACAGCATTTATTTTCAGCTCCGCGCATTTCACGGCGCAATCCACGGTACACACTTTCCGGCTCACCTGGGTAGCCGCGGGGTGCGGCGTACGCAGAACCAGACGGGTAGCCGGCAGGCGGGTATCCTTGAGGGGGATAGCCGGCGGGAGGCGGGTACCCCTGTGGCGGATATCCCTGAGGGGGGTAGCCGGCGGCTGGGTAACCCTGTGGAGGATATCCTTGAGGGGGATAAGGGGGGTAGCCGGTGGGTGGAGGCGGGTAACCCTGTTGCGGAGGATAACCGCCTTGCGGTGGAGGGTAACCCTGAGGAGGATACCCTGGGTAACCCTGCGGAGGCGGATAGCCCTGAGGATACCTCGGATCTGCAGAAACGCGTGAATATACACAGAAAGCGGCATTTTCGGAAAGTATTAACTCAGCGTAAACAGTAAGTCACTAGGATTGAACTGATAAAAGAACTGCGAAAAGAAAAGCACGCCTGAAGAACAGTGGGAAACATTTCGCGTTACAAAATCCATCCGAAGGGCATGTGATAGTAACGACTTCGTACCCGACATGACGCTGGGAGATGCCGGATCAGGAACTAGTTATGACTGCCTCCTTAGCTCGAAAGATGAGCCAAAGTGCCAGACTGCGAGTTTACGACGCACAACATTGCCTTCATACAAGCAGAACGAAAGCCTCCAAGCCAAGCTCCATTGTCCCCGCCTGAGTCTCTAGGGAGAGGCAAATTTGGGGGCGGTGGTTTGAATTTGTCTACCAGCAATGAACCCAGGGGAACGGCAATGGGAAACGTAGATATGGAGTGGTTCATTTTGAGGTCAGAGTGGTTTCGGAGGCTCGCATTGATGGTTCTGGTGTGTTTGAGGCTTTCAGTACGGTGCAGAGGTTTTTGTATGGTGATGTGTGGCAGAGCACAATAGGGGAGCCAAGTTGTGTGGCAGAGCAAAATAGGGGAGCCAAGTTCTGGCCCTGTTCGGCAGCACTTCAGGAGCACTAAAAACAGGTCATCTTGGCCGTTGGGAGCCTGAAAAGTGTTCATGTTGGCCGTTGAGAGTGGTTCGGCACCACCAAAATCGCCTGCGACCCTCGTGCGACAAGACTTCATTCCGAGCTACCCACCCCACACAACTCCGAACCTCTCGCCCAACCCCAAGCCTGACGTGGGCCCAGAAGTCAGCCAACGACCAATCACAAGAAGGGAAGGCCAGAAGATGGGTACTCATCTTTTCAACGTGAGTACCCATCTTCCGCCTAATTGAGACTTCCATTTCGGGCAGCGTGGGGGGTAAGTCCTGCGTCCCCCAAGTGCCCTCCTGCCCAGATTGGGGGTATTTTTAAACATGTGCATCGCCAGCAAAAGGCCCCGCGAACACACGAACAGCAGCCCAGTGCAACGTCCTCGACATACCTAGCAGGAGCAACTTTTTTTTTCAGATTTTCCGTCCGCGGGAGGCCTGACCGAGGGGTGACCCAGGGCCATAAACCTGAGTGGGTTGGATGTGTGGAGGATTTTTGGGTCGTTCATGTTGGCCGTTGAGGTCCGGTGGCCTGGTCTAATTTCTCTGTCTTTTGCGCGGACACTGTAGATACACCTTAGATTTTGCTGACGTGTTGCCACGGTGTCAGGACGACAAGCTGCCTTTGGTTTCCGAACTTCCCAACGTTCGGAACCAGACCTCCCGCACAACACCGAACCTAGATGGGGAAAAACGTGCAATTTTGCAGCCGAACAGGGCCTCTACTTCTGAGTTGCGCAATTTGGCAGGCACTACATGCGGTAAGGCAACCCACATGTGGCAAACACAGCAGCCATTCCTCCCACCCGCCATCGCTGCTGCCCCCTTCGATATTTTGGCCCTGTTCGGCAGCACTTCAGGAGCACTAAAAACAGGTCATCTTGGCCGTTGGGAGCCTGAAAAGTGTTCATGTTGGCCGTTGAGAGTGGTTCGGCACCATCAAAATCGCCTGCGACCCTCGTGCGACAAGACTTCATTCCGAGCCACCCACCCCACACAACTCCGAACCCCTCGCCCAACCCCAAGCCTGACGTGGGCCTAGAAGTCAGCCAACGACCAATCACAAGAAGGGAAGGCCAGAAGATGGGTGCTCATGTTTTCAACGTGAGTACCCATCTTCCACCTACTTGAGACTTCCATTTCGGGCAGCGTGGGGGGTAAACCCTGCGTTCCCCAAGTGCCCTCCTGCCCAGATTGGGGGTATTTTTAAACATGTGCATCGCCAGCAAAAGGCCCCGCGAACACACGAACAGCAGCCCAGTGCAACGTCCTCGACATACCTAGCAGGAGCAACTTTTTTTTCAGATTTTCCGTCCGCGGGAGGCCTGACCGAGGGGTGACCCAGGGCCATAAACCTGAGTGAGTTGGATGTGTGGAGGATTTTTGGGTCGTTCATGTTGGCCGTTGAGGTCCGGTGGCCTGGTCTAATTTCTCTGTCCTTTGCGCGGACACTGTAGATACACCTTAGATTTTGCTGACGTGTTGCTACGGTGTCAGGACGACAAGTTGCGTTTGGTTTCCGAACTTCCCAACGTTCGGAACCAGACCTCCCGCACAACACCGAACCTAGATGGGAAAAAACGTGCAATTTTGCAGCCGAACAGGGCCTTTGTGTGGGTCTCTTCCATCCGTCCATCAAATTGGGACGGGAAATGGGCAATTCTGGTCTCTGGTCGAGAAACCAGGCAAAACAAACCTCGTCCACAGGTACGGCAAAAAGGGGCTCGCTACTTCGGGTCCCGGCATGGGCTCCGGTCTAGTGACGGGGCTAAACTGCTCGCTCAAGGCTTTCAACCTGATCACAGATGTTGAGCGGCCCGATACCAAGCCAATTTGGGTGTAATGGTCAAACCCCAGCTTAGCATCTAGGAATGCACCGTCTAAAGTTATTTATCTCTATACCCCAAAATTTGGAAATTGTAAGGAAAATCACTTTCCTTACTTCGCATCCCTGCTCAACGCGTACATCACTGTAGCGCCTCAGTCAGCACCGTTACCACTCGCGATCCTCGCATCGACAATCACCCCGCCATTTTCGCACATCGCACCCCGACCTCACAACTCGGCTAGTAACGAGCGCTCCGGGCCTCCGCTTCGACATTTTCCAAACCTCAGTCCCAGGCTCGTCGCGCGACAACCACAGTCCATTACCGTTACCACTGTAGTTTCGCTATATATTCTTCGCTCATGCCTTCGCTCATTGTATTCTTGCTTCGATAGTGCAATTCTCGTTCGTTCATTCAATTGCACTCGTAACACTTGGTATTCAGAGCCTACGATCTCATCTCGGACCGCATCCACACCTTCGCTTCCCCACTATCTCAATTATTTTGGGGGGGGGGGGGTAGACGTCTCTCAGCGATACAGCACCGCCGCTCGTAGTGCTCTCTCGTAAGCACGCTCGGCCACGACCGAGGCTCTCCCTGAGCTTGCCCGACACCCCCGCCATGGCCGATTTCACGCTCGCCACATTAATGCAGGAGCAGCTTGATCGTCTCGTGCGTCAGCTGGAAGATTCGGCGCTCGAAATCGCGACGCTCACGGCGGAACGTGACTCCGCCCGTCAACAATCCACGGTGAACATTCCGGCGACATCACACGCACCAACAAATGCATCTGCACAATCGGACGAGCCGATCATTATCTCGTCCGGCACACCAACACAACACGACAGCATGGGACAACGCTCAGGCGCAGCCAGTGACGGCGCCGCCCAGCCGATGCCTGGCATGGGAGGAGGCAGGATCGCACCAAGCCCGCGGGAGCCCCGGGAAGCCCGTCGGCACGTGGAATTTGCGGCGACAAGTGGCGAACAGGCCATCATGGCACCAATGCCGCTCAAGCCGCAACGCCCGCCCTGCTTCGACCCAAGCCAGCGTGGAGGTCCGACGGTTCAATCGTGGGTCTTCACGATGAACGTCTTCTTCGACGCAAACTACGTCGAGTCGGACGCCGCGAAGATCCGGTATGCAGTTTCGCTGCTAAGGGGCCCCGCCATGGACTGGTGGCGAGTCATCGTGATGTCGCCACGCGCCTACGAGCCACCGTCACACGAGGAAGGGCCCACGGGTCCAGCTGTCACCTGGAGTTCGTTCTGCGAGACCGCCCAATACAGCACGTGGGATGCGTGGTGCGCAGGGCTTCGGGCGCGCTTCGAGCCGATCGCGGCTTCGATTTCGGCGCGTCAGAGATTGCGCACTTGGCGCCAGCTCGGGTCGGTTCAAGATTATACAAGCGGTTTTCTCGCACTTTGCGAGCAGGTCGGCTACATGCACGAAGCGGAGCGGGTGGACCGTTACGTCGGAGGGCTGAAGCCGGATATCTCGCACGAAATAATGCTGCGCGGACTCTCTAACTTCAACGAGATTCTCGCGCTCGCCGAGAAAATCAACATCCTACGCCGACCGAGACCGGGGTCCTACTACGGACATTGCCCTCGGGGACCGACCGAGCACGCCACTGTACACGCCGTTGCAACGAATGCAGCTGCCGCACCGTTTAAGGGGCGCTGCTTAGCTTGCAACAGGCCGGGCCATCGCAAGAGCGAATGCCCAGAGGAGCTGAGGCGCCGCGGAGCAGAGCAGGGGAGGGAGTCTCAGAGGCAGGGAAACGCCAACAGTCAGTAGAAGTTGGGCCAACTACTGACGAGACTTCCTGCTCGCCCAACCACACCGACCCTCACCGAGTCACAGTACCGATTCACGCCATCGATCGGGCTCGGATGAATAAGGAGGGTACAGCGACGGATTGCCCAGTACTGATCTACGGGAAAATACAAGGAGCAGCAGTAAAGATTTTTATTGACGGAGGAGCAAGTCATAGTTTAGTTAATACCGCGACCGCACGGAAACTGCAGTTAACACTTAACCGTTGCTTACCTGAGATAGACGCACGCTTAGTCGACGGCACGCCATTGGCCATACGGGAAAAGGTGGAGTGAGTAAAAGTCTGCTGCGGGGGGAACTTCGGGTTTACACAGGAAATGCTCGCAACGACACTGGATAGGCACGACATCTTATTGGGACGTGATTGGCTGCGATGGTATAACCCGCGAATCAACTGGACGACGGGTAGCTGCACCGTGCGAAGTAGTGGTAATTGGGTCGAATTACCTCGCTGGCAGTCGCCCGAGTCTTCAACGGTCCACGTCAACGCCATCACGATGAAACGGGTTGTCGCCGCGGGAGCTGACGTGTACGCAGTGGATATAGCATTAGTAGGAGAAGAGGAGCAGCCGAGCGATTTTCAGAAACTGTTGGCAGCAGTACCGCCCGAACTTCAGGAACTGTTGAAACGGTACTCGGGGATTTTTCCAGACGACTTACCGCAAGGGCTGCCACCTCAGCGGGCACATGACCATAGGATCGAGTTAGAACCGGGGGCACAGCCAACTGTATAGCGTCAGTTCAGACTGACACAGCCCGAGCTCGACGAACTAAGGAAGCAGTTAGATTATCTGTTAGAGAAGCAATTTATCCGACCGAGCTCGTCACCGTTCGCCGCACCGATACTGTTCACACCGAAAAAAGACGGAGGAT